GTTTTTAATTCTTGTCTTTTCCCTTTCAGATGGGCCCTGTGGTATTTCAAAAACGACAAGAGCAAAAGCTGGACAGAGAACCTGCGTCTCATTTCCAAGTTTGACACAGTGGAAGACTTCTGGGCGTAAGTATTCTCTGCTAATCCTGTAATGGAATTATGCTTTTGGCACTATATAGTCATAGTGTATAATTGGAGCATTTCAGAAGAATGGCATTTAAATAAATGATTTTGTATTTCACTCTATAACTCGCATAGAGCCAAGAAGGGATTTCTTGAAGCCGAACCCGTTCTTATTATGCAGATTTAGATAAATGATCCTGTGATTAAATTATTTTTCTAATGCTGATGGAGGCACAGGTTGTTAGTGGTGTAAAGCTAGATTAAAATAACATAGGAGCAGTTTGAGAGTCTTTGTTTATGCTTCATTTTTCGTCTGAACCCCACTCATTGTATAAATATAGTTGTCGTCTTTTAGATATGACACTGGGTAACATAAGTACACTTAAATTGAAAATACCGGTTAAAATATAAAATGAGAAAAAAGAGTTTTTGAAATATTGGCATGCCCCAATAAGGAGGACGACTTTTAAAGAAAAACAACCTCGTGTGTGCTGTGCTGTGCTTGTGTGAAAGGGGGTCAATGTGTAACACTTTATCAGTGTTAAGTTGATGTTAAATACTTCACTGTACCATTTATCTGAACCATGCCAGATGAAGCTCACACTGTCACTGAAGTCACTATTCTGCATTTCTTACAGATTATACAACCACATACAACAACCAAGCAAACTTGGCTTTGGCTGCGATTATTGTTTATTTAAGGTAAGGTCTATTTTAAGATACAATTGTTCCAAATAGTCTGTTTGGAACAATGATGTGTCTAATATGTTTTTTTCTACAAAAAGTATAATTTCCTACGTGATCACATGACGTGATCACGTGACCTTTCGCTAGCATCCTCCTTGCAACAGTTTAGCAGCGCGTTGTGATGGTAGAGAGAAAATGCAAGCACCTCCAGTCCCTGAAGCTACCGGTACTTCAGATGATTTAGTGCCGAGACGTGGGTCCTATGGGCTTCAGCGTTCAGAGCGCTAAGCGCCTTCAGCAGTAAAAAGAAGTCAGCGGAGACGGTTTTTTTTTAGCGCAGCGCTCAGAGCGCTTCAAGTTGAAATCTGTTCAACTTTTAACACCGCTGGGCGCTTGGAAAATGAGTTTTTGAGCGCTCTCAGCGCTGTAAATGCGTTTGGTGGACACAAGTCCAGCTCAGACAATTCTAATCACATTTTAAAGGATATCGACTGATTATCGGTATCGCCAAAATCCCAAAAAATATTGAGATATTATTTTTTGCCCATATCGCCCACCCCTAATTTCAACATACAAATTATTACAAAGGTATTTACTCCTTCTACCTCATTAAGAATTAATATGCAAATATTATTAATTTCTAAAAGTTTTCCTGCTCGACACAAGATGTCTCAGTGTATGTGCACTGGTGGCTTCAAGTTTCTACATCACATTTGTATAAGTTGCATACTGGACCAGGATTGATTTCAAAACTATTTGTGACATTTTTGAGTGGAGGGGGACTTACAGTTGTTTCCTTTGCCAACCATTTGGATGAAGTATTTAAAAGCTTTTTTTTTTTTTTTTGTGTGGCAGGATGGGATCAAGCCGATGTGGGAGGACGACAGGAACAAACTGGGGGGTCGATGGCTGATGACTCTCAATAAACAACAGAGACACAATGACCTTGACCGCTACTGGATGGAGACGGTAAGACACCTGTTTGCATGGAAGAGCTGGGCAAATCTCATAGATGAACCTGTCTCCTATTAATGGTTGTGAATTACAAGAAAAAGGACAATATGACTCATATAGTGTCGCGTTTTGTGTATTTTTCAGCTCTTGTGTTTAGTCGGCGAGTCGTTTGATGAGGCAAGTGAAGATGTGTGCGGAGCTGTGGTCAATGTCAGACCTAAAGGTGACAAAATAGCCATCTGGACTAGCAACTGCCAAAACAGGGACGCCATCATGACGATAGGGTAAGTTCATAAGTCTCATCGTCAATAGGAAATAACTCAAGTGATCAAAAGAATCATTGTAAACTAACTGACCACTAGATGGTGACACTAAGTTAGCATTAATCGTCACACACCATTCAACTTCTTCTTTCCACAGGCAACTTTATAAAGAGCGTCTGAGCATCCCCAGCAAAGCCATGATTGGCTACCAGTCACATGACGACACATCCAGCAAGAGCGGCTCCACCACCAAGAACATGTACTCCGTTTGAACTCCCCATTCCTCACCATTTCAACTTGCTGTAGATTTAAACAATTACCAAACTGCATCATCACAATAATAATAATTTTTGAGTTCTCAACTACTGTAGTGTCTTTTCCTTTTATTAAAGATTTGATCATAGTGTGTACACTTGGAGCTTCCCCCAATATGAGAAACTAGTGGGGGGCGATAGTTAAAACTATGGAGGAGGCCGGGAAGGTGAAGAGTATTTGGGCTCAAGATGTTATACGTGAGCAAGAGAACACAAGATTTGCTTTTAGAGTTGAAGAGTTCTTTCATTAATACCAGTGACCTCCCCCTAGCTTAGCTAAGAACAAGCTTTTTTTTTTAAGTACTTAATGGCTTGGAGTTGCTAAAAAAAAAAAAAAAAAAACCTTAACTATACAGCCTTGTGTTATGCTCATGCCGAGTTCTCACTCCTTTACAAAAAAAGTGTTTCTCACCTCACAGGAAAAGATGGTAGACAACTTTCACAGAACAAATTTTAAGGGCAATTTTAACTTGATTTATCCAGAAGTGTTGAGCATGAAGAATCTACAGTATCTTAAAGGTGTGTAAAAGCCGTGGTCACACTCCAAAGTTGTAGGGTTTGGATTTAAGGCCACTTGTTGTTTCAGCCATGCTGGAATTGTGGAATATTGCTTGTAGTACTTTTTGAACTTATTTTCTTCCCCTTACATTTATTTATAATGTATGCATTGCAGTTGAACTTCTTAGTTGAAAGACAACCATGAAACTTGTGTTTTTTCAAATTGTTTTTTTCTTTTTTTTTTCTTCTTCTTTTTTGTTATTAAGGTTACAATGTGGACTACTGCATATAGATGACATTTTTTACAGTGTACCATACAGTAAAATGCTGACAGAATTAGGTGTGCTTTTCACTGTTTTCTTCCTAACAAAACTGTAGATAATGTCACACTCCTCTCTTGGTTGATGCAAAGGAAAGATGATATTCATTGTGAAATGATTTTGCTCATAATGTATCTTTATTATCTGTAATTCCAGGATGTATATTACCTTCTTTCAAGTAAAGGTTAAGTGCTTTGCATTAAAACCAGAACCATGTTGTCTTGTTTTGAGAGAATTTGTGGTTTTATAGTTTTTATTTCCAATTTAATTTAAAAGTTGATAAATATAAGACTAATATTCACTTTACTTTAGTTCTGCTTTTGGTTTCTACCAACTCCTGAGGGAACTATCTGGCTCTTTAGCTGCTTAAAGCTCCACTATTTTAACCACCCTGTCTGTAACCAGAGGTGAGCCATCTGGTGCTCAGGGGGTACAGTCGCGTACAGTGAGGGTTTTAAAGCTTTTTCACTGAAAATAGCTGCCTGTTTGCAGCCAAAAAGGATGCGGTGAGAGCGAACAGACATGGTAAAGTTGAAGGCCAGACGGTTTAAACAATGAGCTGAAACTGACTTTAAAGGTCTGTAAAGACGGGGAGCTGCAGCTTCGAGTGATAATTCTCCCTAGGTTTATGACTGGGAATAACCCATTTCACATTATTTTCACATTGTCAATAATAGCTGCTTTAAAGACCCTTGAAAACCTGGTTTCAAATTGTAAGGTTTCTTACAATATTACAACATTAAATGAGCAATAATTAAAGTTCAGAAAAACTGAACTAATCTGCTTCAGGACTCTGATCATTCAAATGTTGCTAAACCCTGATAGAGTGCTGAAGTCATGACGCCACGTCCAGGCTATCCTGTGTACTCAGTATAATCTCCCATTTAGCATTCATTAATTAATTTTATTGGTCTTTCTGAAAACAAAAACAAGCGTGCTCCTGAGGGCTATGCTCCATATTCTACGACAAAGTTGCTTCTCTGTATCCTGCTGTTATTACTGACATGCCTGCAGATGTTAAAGTCAAAAATGTAACATTATTCTGGCACATTAGTAAAGCATTGAATAGGAATATCTATAAGTGGCATTAGAAATCAGTAAACCGTTTTATTCTTTATTCTCTATCTTCAGACATTTTTCCAAATACGTCTTTTTTTATTTAACTTAAGCTAACTATCACATAGTCTAAGATTTATAGTCTAAGGCTGTAACAAATCATTAATCAAAATTTTTTAACATGTTATTTTAAATGAATTAATGTGTTAAATTTGACAGCAAACTGGGTTAGCCAGGTATTTTTTTTATGGGCGGCAGCTGCCAGGAATGGAACCTAAAAGTTCCTGTTTGACTTCAGCTGTCTAATGTGCATGGAGATATGTGAAACTAATGAGGGGTAAAATAAGGACAAGACCACAAATAAAGAACTAATACTTATAGGACCCCACAAGAAACAGATAAATAAATTCAGAGCCTCTAAGTTGCTTTAAAAAAGTGAATTCAATTCAGAAAACCTCACTTGTTTGTCCTCTGAGGCACACATACAGTGAAATACATTGAACGGACCACACCTTAAAACTTTGCAGTTGAAAAGGTGCAGACAACACCCATTGTACTGTACACTCAGACAACACTGAACTCCTGGTCCTGGAACTTGCAGGTCGAGGTTTTGACGTCTGTCAAAACGAACATCTCTGAATGTCACTAAGTCTTAATCATCAAGTTAAACAAGATCTTGTGACGTCACAGGGACTTTTCTGAAGGGGTGGATTGCGACATCCTCCACCCTGGTGACAGAGCTTTAGAGTTTGTCTATAAATAACAATAACAGGACTTCTCAGTGTGTACAGTGATCATATTTTTATTAAAGTGCTAAACTTCTACACAAATGCTTAGATCCATTAAAGAAACTTAATGTTAAGCTAACAGTGAGCGTTTCATGACTTTTGGTCCTTATTCATGTACTTGGTGAGGAATTCTGATTTAATTGTTGATAATGTTAACACGTAATAAAAATGATTGCACAAACATTAACACATGAACAGGTGTATGGACACTTCAGGTTAATTGTTCTAATGGCAAAGCAGCAACATGGCTTGTGTAAAAGTATAATACGACTGATGTGTTTTGTTCATTTGCTGTGCAAGCTAGTTGGTTTCAATAAATAAGGAATGTTTTACCTAATGAATGGAAATTCCCAGTAAAGAAGATTTTAGGCAACAGTATCAAGAGTGTGGAATAAGTGGTCATAATCCATAAAGGGATATAAATCCATCCCTGCAAGAGTGATAGAAAATAATTATTGGTCCTCCAGCCACGATCCAGCTACAGTCTTTACAGATCTCTTACTCAGTCCTTCCTCATTGCTTGTGTGCTTCAGCTGGACCCTGGCAGCCTTATATCAGGACAAAGTCATCATCAAAGGCTTTTCTTCCTCTCGTTTGCTCAACAAGTTTGAAAGCATGAAGGATGAGAAGAAGCAAAACTCCACAGCGTAGCTGAGCTCGAACAGCTCCAGGTTGACACTGAGCATCCACTCAAATATGGCAGACAAGTGAACGTAGAAGTACTCGTCCTGGGCAAACAAAATAGTATCTGGAGGATTCAAGTTAAGGATGTATGGAACAGTTAGTGGCAGTCAGATGTTTAACTGATCACAACACATTTCATTGCTCCTGAGCAGAGCATAGACATATATGTGTATCTATATGAATATACTTATATATATTTTTCATCAATTAAATTAAGCAAACATGTACAATTGTTATCAATATTATGCACTCATTTGTGATGAAAAGTACACAATGATGTGTGTGCTCTAAAGCCTAGTGTGTACTGTATATAGATACTGTATTCAGGTGCCATGAACCATGAGCCCCTTAAGAGAGGGTCCTAGAGGTTCAATCCCCAAACTTGTATGTGTTCATCACCAACTAGCATAAAGGTGACTTTGAGCTTAACATTAAACCCTAAGAGGACTAAAGGACTCTTGTTGTGTCACTGTGCAGCTTCCGGATATAAGAGTGTGAAAGGTGAAACTGAGTGTTTCAGGAAATCAATGGTTAAAGATTGATGTAGTTCCACTTTGCCATTCATTTGGATCTACTTCTGTTATGTGGACTGTTGAGGCCAGTCCCATTTTGTAAACAGAGCAGCAGACCGGATCCAAATATGGCACGAAGGGACTGTAGTGCTGTAGAGCAGCTGGAGAATGAAACTCAAACGTCATTGCTGAAGTTAACTGCTGAAATGACCTGTTTAAAGCCACACCAAATTAATCCTATCATGTTTACGATCATCCAGCCTGCTTTACCAGCCACAACTCACTGCACACCAATCAATGTAACTTACACAAAATACTCTCAAATAGAGGAGTTTTGTAGGATAGTTAACCAACAAAAAGGATACAGCAGATGGTGACAATGGTTTGAACCACAGTGGAGATGATACGTAGTGGGTAGAGAACCTTCTCATAGCCCGTCAGCAAACACTTCCTGGTCAGCGCAGTGAGCAGAACAGTGTAGAAGCAGATGCACATGAAACTGATGGCAGCTCCGAGGTAGTGTAGCAGTGACAGGTAACCAGGCTGTGGAGGACAGTCAGTAGTTTCCAGGATCAATTGAGGAATAGATTGTTATAAAGAGTTATAAAAGTTATAAAAGAGTTTTATTGTAGTTAAAAACAACAAAACAACAAACAAACAAATTAACAACAAAATAATATTTGGTGCATTTTGATTTCTTGTTTAACAAACTGGTGAGTACATAGAAATAAGATATTCTAATCAGGTTGATCACACAGGAAACATTTGTGTAGTTCAAAATTTTCAATTTTGCAGAGCTGATGTTGATATTTGGTCCTTAATACATTTGCTAAACTTAAAATCAAACCATTTCATGTTAAAAATTGAGCAGGAGGTGTACAAGCTTTGCCAACTTGTGCTCTAAATCATTACAGATTACATTAAACAAACACTTACGCACCTTTGTTTGCTGTTTCCACACAGCTGTTGGATTATTGAGATATATTAATTCAAACACATGCAGCAGGAAGTGCAGTACTTACATTACAGTTTCCAGCTGCGAATGCCCCCAAGGCTGCCACCACACCAAAGACCAGGGCAAACCTGCTCATCATGGAATGGCATGCATGTTTCTCCATAATATGAGCATGGTGGAATATACAGAACAGCAGAACTAAAGAGGAGATCACAGTTGGTATAACACATATCACTTATATAATGTATATATACATACATATGTATGGCATTTAGCAGGTAAACTCACATAGAAAGGATCCTGCGTTGATCGTTGCTGTAAAAAGGGAATTTTCTGGCGCACTAGTTCCACTTGAGCTGGAATCACATAATATGTTCAATTAAATATGTCTCACTTTTTGATTCCAGTGGAAAGGAAAAACAAAAAGGTCAGATTAAGAGTGCAGCATTCTCACCTTATAGTGGGAACAAGGCAACATCCAGTGGACTGATTCCCTCTGCAGTAGTGGTCAGCTCCCCTGAAAACAAATGAATGAGGTTCTGTCACATCCAAATCCTCGTGGTCAGCTATCTACAGTAATGAGACGCAACTCACCAGTCACTGAGAGAGCACACATGATTGTTGGAGAAGGCCAGGCCATATCTGGAAAAACATAAAAAAAGAAATACTGAAGTGACACTATTTTATTAATTGGGCTGTAAACTCTTGTCTGGTAGTGTTTATTATTATTATTATTATTATTATTATTATTATTATTATTATTATTATTATTATTAGCAATATCTTTCAGTTTTCCAAAATAAAGGTAGAACCCCGGTTACTAACAGCACATTCCTGTTGACTGAATCTATCTAGAAGAAGAGAGGACGACTGCCTAAGCTAATGATTTTATCCTAATGCTGACTCACCAAAAAAACACCACAAATATTTCTGACATTAAAAAGAAGACAACACCTGAATATAGTCTGAAGAATGAGCTACTGCAGTGCAAATGGCACACACAGGATAACTTTATTAATAATCGATATACATAATGAAACATATATCATATAAGATGTTCAGTTAAACATTAAATGTAATTGGATGACAGAGCAGAGGCTGGAACAAACATTACTTAACATGTAGTCACTAATGACTAACAGAGCTTAATTATTATCAACACAAAGAACAAATAGATTTACAAGTATGCACGCCTCAGGTTCAACAACATTGTCTCTTGGTATTCCTTGGAACTCTGGCGCGCACCCTCAAGACAGACAAAACTAGCCAGATCACATAACAATACTGTTTCATAATATGTTCCAGTGTGGAAAACAACCACGTTTCCTCATGCCATCTTGATGTGGACATATATAAACATATACAGTTTTACAGATCGCACATACACAGAGCCAGAACATTATAACAGAAGCATGTGAAAAGCTGCCGAAAAATAAAGTGATACCATCTCCTCACTTCCTGTCAAGGCCAAGTTATATCAGTATTACTACTGGAATCGCAATGCCCTTAGCCAAGAATTTACAGTTCAAATGAAGATTATTGATAAACATGATGTGCCGTTTGTCAAGTCTGTCAGGAGTCACATTATCATGAAATATTACAAACACTGCACCCACAGCTTCACGATGAGCTTTAAACTTTCAGTTGTGAATAATACTGAGGTATAAATGCATCTAATGATCTTCTCAAGGTCTAAAGTTAATGTAAACGTTGTATTTGCATGACAGCACACAGACAAAAGCAGAATAAAAGTACTAATAAAAAACTAAATGTTCTAATATGTTCACCCGTGTGTAAAGACGAAAGAGAAAAAGGTGTTAATTTTCTGGTAAACTTACACAGCCCATGTTCCAATGAAGGACACCAGGGAGAGGGAGATGGGGAAAATAATCCAGAGCACCATGTCTTGGTGGTGAGGAAGACAAGAGTAACAAATTAAAACAGGGAGTCCTTAAATCCAGGTGTCTTCAAAACACTCAGTGGTAGACTTCTTCAGGGGTTTGGAGAGTCCTCATCGAGATAGCCTCATACCTACATAGCAAGATCAGCACTGGAACATTACAATAAAGTCCTAACCCTGTATGACAGAAGTGTAGTTCTGGTTCCCCAGGCAGTTGCACTGCTAGAGTTACTTATTGGTTTCCACCTTTTATGGGAGAGTCTCTTTCTCTGCCACTCCTTTAGAGCACCACCTTGCCATGTCAGAAGAAATGTTGGGAAACATGGGGTTGGACTTCTTGAGGCTGTCACTTTGTTTGTCTTATTCCAAAGAGACTCACCTTTATGCTCCATCTCAATCCACTGCAGAGTCTGTTATACAGGTGATTCTGGATTTGAATTATGATCTCATCTACTGGAGATGTCTTGAGAACAAAGCAGTAGTTATGTATGACTGTTGTGTAAAGGAATGAGCTGAATGTTTCTTCGTTTCTCCTGTCATCAAGGGTTGGAATGTAACTAAGCACGTTTACAACAGTAAATACAGTTTTGAAGTATTTGAGCTTGACTTCTATTTTATGCTTTATAGTTACACTTCACTACATTTTTTTGGGGGAAAATATTGTATTTTTTCTCCTCTACATTTAGTCAACAGTTATAATTACTAGTTACTTTGCAGATTAAACATATAAGAGTGTAAAATATGATGCAGTAAATCTTTAAATGCAGGACCTTTATTTAAATGATCTTACTATATCTTCCACCACTGCTGTCCTAACAACCTGGGGACCTTTGTTAGTATAAATACAGCCTACTAGTTGAGAGAATAAAATTAAGTGAAATGAAAGGTATTGGTTCATATTTTATTATTATATTGCTACATGAATTAAAAAATGTAATCTTATTGTAGAACTTTTTACATTTTTACAGGTTGATTATTATATTATTTTCTAAACTTTCACTGAGGAACTACACTAAATAAAGATGACTATCAGGTAATCAGGTTAATCGATCCCCTGTTCAGGATCGCGCGCTGTCTACCTCACGAGGGTCCTCATTTTCAAAACAAACAAAATGGCGGCGCACATGAGACGTGGACTTCGCCAGTTGTTACGGGCACGAAATACGTCTCACATTAGGTTTGAACCTCTAAAATCCGTGACATGTCGCTTTGTGAACACTTTATACTGCCGATGTGATATCTTATAATGCTCGACGAAAGCATTAAATCGATAATCCGACCTGTGGTTGAGGTGATACTTATAGCTAGCCAATAAGCTAACTAGCGAACTGCGACACAAGACAGCGGATTGTTTTATAATCTCATTCATCCGTTTCAGCCGCTAATGTTAGACTGTAGTAAAATAAAATAATAATAATAATAAAAGAAAGCCTCTGGATTACGTGGACGTTAGCAGTTTGTTTGTACATTAAAACCCTGAGCTAACAGCTAAAGTAATCCTTCACCGCCACTTTATTATTTAATCCTGCCTGAAGAAATGAATGAGTTGAATTAAACCTGTGTTTACTGACAGACATTGGGTTATATTCTTTATGCTTTAAGGTTTCCAGACAACGCCAGAAGCTCATATCACTCACAGTGCACGACTCAGAGCTTCAGGAAGGTCCAGCCTCGGCCCGGTACCGGAACCACACACTTCTCAAGTGAGGAACCATTGTTTGGACACCTTAATACCTTTAGTCACTCTCTGTCTTCTTGTTTCTAACACATGCCTCGGTGATACTGCATGACAGACAAGAAAAAAAAAACCATAAAACCATACTAAAATATAGTTTTTTCTGATATCTTTCAGTAAGACAGCTGTCCATCCAGACTCAAGACACTCCAAACCCCAGCAGCTTGAAGTTTCTCCCTGGTAAACCTGTCTTAGGAAGTGGGACGCTTGACTTTCCCTCTCCGAGCTCAGCTGGATGTTCATCTTTAGCCAGGTTGTGTTTACGTTGTACGTTCTCAAAACAATACACTGTCTTTTCTTCGCTGAGTGTTTCCCTTTGAGACGCAGACATCATTACAGTTTTGGACCAGGAGAAGAAAGCTGTGCACACCTATTTGTTTGTGTCTTGTTTATAAATCATAGTGTAAAAAAAAAACTGCTAACTTACACTCATAAGACATAATGCCAAAATGTTATGAAAAATATGCATCGGATGTATGAGTGTGTGACTTTCCCATTCTCTTTTTTTATATAATATTATCTTTATTGAGCTATTCATGGTCGTGTCTTCAGTTTCTCATGGTGACGCTCGGTAGAAGACTACACACAGAAGATGTGACAAAAAAAGGTCTTCTATGTGATCCTCCAAGGTTTCTGTGAATGATTGTATTGATATGTTTTGTTTGCTGATACATTCTGTCTTGTCTCAACAAAAATGACAACATGGTGAAAAAGCAGTGATGTTATCGGTGACGTACTCGATAGGAGCCTGCACATGTGGATGTTGTTATCACTAAATGGACCAACGTGAACGCAGACTTCATTCTGTCACCGGTATGTTTTTCATTGTTGTCGAACAATAACAAGATAACATGTTTCTTTCAGGGACCTGTTTGAAATCGAAGGAGTGAAAAGTGTGTTCTTTGGCCCTGACTTCATCACAGTCACTAAAGTAAGTATTAAATGTACTCTTACAGTTTGTCTCTGTGACTCCTGTTCTGATGAAATCTTTGTGGTGAGACTACACGAGGTCTTTGTTTTTGCAGGCAGATGAGGATGTGGAATGGACAGACATTAAGCGGCATGCTTCGGAGGCCATTGCTAAGTTCTTTGAGAGCGGTGACCCGATAACAACAGGGGCAGTGTACAATGAAAGCAGTGAGTGTGCAACCTTGGAGTTATGCAGCTGCTAGAATGTATAGTATGTAATTATCTCCACACTGTACATTTTCTTTTTTGTAGGCCATTCTGAAGATGATGATGAAATTGTATCTATGATAAAGGAGCTTCTGGACACCAGAATCAGGTACAAAACTACTAACCTTGAGAGCAATTTTGGTTGTTGCAATTGGGATAGCTTACTGTTTAATGGTTTATGTATTTTAAATCCTGATCACATATTTCCTTTACTCAGCACAATGATGCTCACAGTGTAGTAAAACACAGTTGCGCTAAGATAACAGTCTTAATCTGTCTGTCCTTTGTGCTGCTTTGTTCTGTACAAACTGATACAAATCCTTTTCGCTCACAAGACCTACAGTGCAGGAGGATGGAGGCGATGTCATCTTTAAGGGGTTTGAGGACGGCACAGTCAAGCTCAAGCTGGTCGGTTCCTGCACAGGGTGTCCCAGCTCCACGGTTACCCTGAAGAACGGCATTCAGAACATGCTGCAGTTTTATATCCCTGAAGTAGACAATGTGGAACAGGTGATTATTATGATGAGATCAGTTTTCTTGTGGGATTTGTTTTTGTAGATGAGCAGAGATTCGTGCTGGTTTTTAATTTGAGACCAAGCTTTACTATTTGTTTTCATTCTGCGATTGGTTTTGAAAGTTGCTGCATTGATATTTAAATCATCATATGCAGGAAATTGGGCTGTGACCTCATTTTAATTTAAATGTTTGGACCCTTAAGGCTGAGCAATGAAACCAGACAGTAAAGCTTAATAAAACGATTTTAAAAAAATCCTATTTCAATATCCATTTCACTTACTTGCTACTATACTGAGTCGAGTTTCTGTCATGATTGAAGGTTAAATATGTCTTTACAGACTTTTATGTCACATTTCACATTTTGTCAATTGTCCTTTTTGCCCAGGTGGAAGATGAAGTGGATGAAATCAACGCAAAGGTTTTCTCAGAGTTGGAACGCAAATTACAAGACTAAAGACTTACTCGAACAACACACTTTAGAAGAAACATATGTTCCACTGTGTAAAACCACAGCCCTGAATAATTTCCACTAATTACCTAGCTACAATCGTAAGAATAAAGAGAAAAAGTTATTACCTGCTATTTTGTGTGCACTCTATATACTGTTAAGAGTTCAAGCTGTAAGTACATGTACATACTGTATGCCCCTGTTACCAAGACAGTGAGATAACAGGGAATATACCTGTATGTAGACTATATTGTCATTCTTCTAACCATTCAAAATGTTCTGCTGTGATGCCTGTAATTGTTGTGATTTATTTATTTCTTATAAATATTGTATATTTTGAAATAATATTTTCATAGCAGGGAGACATTGTTTATGGTGATGCAGAATGATGATTTGATAAGGTATTCCAGTTGTTGCTGATTTTAAAAAAAAATCTGTTTTTGCTTGTTAATGCATCATCTATAAATAACAAAAAATGTAATTTGCTAAAATTATTAATGAAGCTGAAGTAGGTTTACAATATGACATCCTGTAAGACCTGTTTATTCTATTTATCCGCTTTGTGCTGTATTTTTTTCAGATTTACTGTATCACATTAAACAAAAACCACAATTTGAAAGTAAATCTTGTTGTTGTTGATTTCTTTTTTTAATTATTATTACAGTTATTGTCAAGTTCTTGTAGTTATGTGTCATTATATCATGCGAGGGTAGAGAAAACCAAGCAATGACAACTCAAAAGAAAGGGCAGTGAATTTTAACAGGCTTTAGGCTAAATAATCATTTGAATCTTTCATATATATATATTTTTTTAACTCAATTGCAATTAAGCAGACCAGTAAATACAGATATCGATCCGCTCTATTCACTGAATATCTCCTGGAGCACGGAGAGGGTTCTCCGGCTCCCACGCATGCGCGCTTTACGTCTACACCGACCGGCGCAGGGGACATCGGTAAGCAGTGTGAATAATGTCGTAATCAACACCTTAAAACGTCCGTTATCGTGAACGTTTAATGAAAAACTGTCAAGTACAATTATTAACTGCATGCAGGATCGTAGCTGTACACAGTTACTTGTGTGAATGTGCGTTTTTTTTATTTATTTTTCTTTTATGCTCCTAAAATATCAGCCGTTGACTACCATCTATCTGCACGAGAGCCAACGGACGTTATTCCAGGCCTCGTTTTCGATAACAAATCCAGCACGAGGCTAATCTGGCAACAAAGCTAACGTCGAGCGAATGCTAACGCGTTAGCTCAGCTCTGCGTACAGTAGCCATGCTGTAGTATGGGTGTAAACAACACGCGTTTTTAATAACTTGAAACCTTCGTTAGCCGCTGTTAACCACAACAATAGCGGCATTAGCTTGCCAGACAGACGTAAAACGCAAGCTAGCTGCCTGCGCTAGCCGACTGTCAGTTAAAGTGGTTAGCATTAGCCACACTGCCATTGAGCCTGTCGAGGTTTGCTGTGTCAGCAGTTTCTAATAATCTACGGAGCACAGCAGAAATCACGGGTGATATATTTTATAGTTCTGGCGTACGATTGAGTGATTTGTTCTCTCAAAAGAAACGTTACTACATTGTTCTTTCAAATGGTTTATTTCTGTTTAGGCTAATGGTGTTATTTTATAGATTGGTTGTTGTTGTTTGTCCGGTCAGTGTAAACAACATGCTAGCCGTGTAAAGGCTCCTCCAAATGAGTGAATGTACTCTCTCAAATAAGGGAACAAGTGCTTCTGATACAGTTTTGGTGCTAAGATGAATATTGTTTTTGTCAGTGGCGATCATAGACCCTGGGGGCCCAGGTAAACAAGCCCATCTAGGCCCCCAGTTTCTTGAACATGAACAGTTCACTTGTCTGTCCACTGGGAGAGGCTATCTAATACAATGAAAGGGCTTGGGTAGGGCCTACCTTTTGGATGACATGAGGGGGGATGGGTAGCAGGGTGTCATCCTCATCATGTTCATCTTGTGCTGTACGTTCGCCCTCATCATGGACGGCATATTGTGGTTACGTGGAAGTGGACAGAACTGCTGCAAGAAAAATAACACATCAGTGCACAGAGCAAGATAAATAATATGTATTCATGTGTTTCCTGACTTTATTAATCTGCCCGATCTGCAGAAACCGCCCTGTCTATGTTGGAAGAAAAGGCACTGTGCAATATTAACTGCAAAGTATGTTGACTGTTGTCATACATTTAGAAAAAACAGGCTGTGTAGTATGTTTTACAGTCAGTGTCAGAAGTTTAAGATGACTGCAATGGCTAGAAGGATTTCAACAATGTCCCTAGTAAATAGTGACTGTGAGTGAGTAGGTTATGGGCAGTGCAGTGTAGCTGCTTGCAAGTACAATTAAAAGTTTTGACTGCATTATGTGCACATATGCACAATGTGTACAAATCACATCATCTCCATGTCCTTTAAGCCTCATGTCTCTTGGACTTCCTGCTAATATACTTCATTTATGGGTTGGTTTTTGTTTTGTTTTTAGTGACACGCATCGGCCTGGTGAGTAGAGACTGCCCTTAACCTGAGTGAGTCATGGCCCAATTCGGGGGACAGAAGAATCCGCCGTGGGCGACTCAATTTGCCGCCACAGCGGTGTCTCAGCCGGGCCACTCGGGACAGTCTCTTGACCTCAACAGCCTGCACTGTGAGTATAGCAAACCAGAACCTCTGGGCTGCTTCATTCCCTCTCATACTGGGTGCACAATCACACAAATACTTACTGTCATACTCTTTAGTAATAATGGACTTTTTCTCTCTGACTCTTACCTCTGCCATCATATCATCATGGGATATCATATTCTATCAATGCTCCCTATTCAGTGTTTTTTTTCCCCACACCTCTCTGAGTCTGGTGCCTTATTTTCCTTCTCTGCAGCTCTTGGTGTGCAGCAGCCATCTCTTCTGGGAGCATCTCCTTCTGTTTACTCTCAGCAGTCAGCTTTGGCTGCAGTATCGCTCAGCAACCAGTCTGCTGCAAACTATCAGCTGTCTCAGCAAACTGCTGCTTTGCAGCAGCAAGCTGCAGCGGCTGCCGCAGCTGCACTACAGCAGGTCAGTCACAGCAAGGCAGTCCTAAGCACACTCAGCAATCTGTTCATCTTTCCATGGTCACATGTAACACTGTTTGATCAAGTACCATCTCTCCCTTGTTCTTTGTAATGTATATAGTCTCAGATTAATTCAGCCCTCCAGCAGTATCAGCAACAACAGCAGCAGCAGCAACAACAACAACAGCAGCAGCAGCAACAACAACAACAACAGCAGCAACCTCCCCAGCAACCCCCTCAACAACTGTACAATGTACCTCATCAGGTGAAACACCTTTGTGTTCATATTATTTTGGTCACTAACCCTGGAAAATATATTGATTAGTTACATTAATTACATTTAAAATATTAAAATGAATCAAAATTAATTATATTGACGTGCCTTGTATTTAGACTTGTCATGATTTCATATAAATTGGGATGTATCAGCAAAGTAGAAGAATGAAGTGTTGTTTGGAAAATGAGCACAGGCCATGTCATATTGCAGTAATTTTAAGTCTTGGTATTTTCTGTTTTCCTTCTTCACAGCTTCCACAGCCTCAACAGGCATTGCTTTCTCAGGTAATGTTCAAAAACTCATAAATTTGCCATATATTTATACATATTGTGATTTCAAAGATCCTAATCCAGTTGTTGGGGTTAAATTACTGATTTAATCAAAGATCTAATGCATATATGTTTTTTCTCAGTGTATGTCCATTTACACATACGTATTATGTTCAAGGTCACAAATGGGGTGGAGCCGATCCCAGCGTACATTGAGTTAGAGGGAGAGTATCTATGTTAGCTCGCTCTTCTTCATTCTCTATTATTATTTGTTCTCACATTGAAAACCATAGTGGTGTAAAATACTTGTCAGGTTTGTGCCAGAACAGCATTCCAAGGCCAAACAAAGTATAAAACACTTCTTTCTTTTCACTTTTCTATCTGAGCAGATAAACCATAAAGCAACCCTGAGGTGTAGGTTTTCCATCACCTTATTTGTATACCTCTCCAGTTCATTGCAAATATTGATATTTTTCTCAAAGTAGAAGAAGCATACTCAGTCTCATCTGTTTACATCCTAGCTTCTGAAACTCAGGCCCGATGTTTCCATAGCTGACCAGTATTTTTGCCCTTTTGATTTCTGATGGTTATTTTCCAGTTTTCTTTTGGGCCTTGTTTATTTTATCTTTAGGAGAAAAAGCCCAGTTTTGATTTGCTATCAGAATGTCTCCGTTTGCATGGTATTTACCGACTGGTTTTTAACATACAGCCTTCTTTCTTTCCTTGACTCTCAGCCCCCCGTCGCCTTGCCCACCAGCCTAAGCCTGTCCAACCCGCAGCAGACAGCCCAGATTACTGTGTCCTACCCAACACCACGTTCAAGCCACCAACAGCAGACACAGCCACAGAAGCAGCGAGTCTTCACTGGTGTCGTCAACAAGCTACATGACACATTTGGCTTTGTAGATGAAGATGTCTTCTTTCAGCTAAGGTGAAAGAGAGTATGGTCCTTAGGATCTTTGTTTCTTGTGCAAACAAGTGTGTCGGTTAGGCCATCATCCGCACCCATAACAAACAATTCCAGAGGATACATGTGCCCTTTTAAACTTGACAATGATATGACCTGTTCAAAGATGTTTGAATGCTTTTTTTTGTATCTTTCAGTGCTGTGAAGGGGAAGACTCCTCAGGTGGGTGACAGGGTCCTAGTGGAAGCAGTGTACAATCCGAATATGCCCTTCAAGTGGAACGCCCAGCGCATCCAGACCTTACCTCAGCTAGCAAACCAGTCGGTGAGAACACTCATGGTAGTGAAAATTATGACATATCTGTTTTCTTTTTTTAATTTTCAAAAGTGAGATCCACAGGTTGATTTTAAATTCTGGACAATTCACCTGGCTTAGTCTGAGGAGAGTCCAAATGTATTCAGTGTGTTGTGTTGTTTTTTTCTTTCAGATTTGATCTTTCCCCTGTACCTCTCTGTCGTTTATTGACTGTTGTGTTCTTAATCCCTCCTAGCATCAGCAGCAGCCTTTACCTCAAGCTTCCCCACAGCTCGGCAGCCTTTACAATGAGCCAGGGATGCAGCTGCGCTACTCAGACATGCATTCTGCGGACAACAGACAAAATGTAACCCCCTAGCTCTAAACACACTCTTGTCCTTCTCTCTACTCAGTTTCTTTTTTAGACTTTTTGCTTTCTTTGCGGACTGTTTTGCTTAACCTATTAATGGTGAACATCTATGTTTAACTGCAGTTTTTGCTTGATCTTTTAGTTTGCTGTTGTTGCCAAGAACCACATTTTATAGTGGTTTAACAATACTTGTTTTTATTTTAAAGAACGTTAATTTGTCTTACAGAGATACTATTTTTCTACTATTGTCTCATTATACATTTTTGAATGTGCTTTTTGTGGTAGATTACAGCCTTGTTTTTTACCATGGTTTATATATGTTTGTTTGGAAAACAAACTAATGTTGCTTGAGCTGTTACTTTTGTTTCAGACTTTGAGCTCCTTAATATTCAAATCGGTAAATCTCTCTACAGGGAACATTGCAGATGACAGGGTCTTCAAGAA